AGCGGCCATTCGAGTGTGAAAACCCGATCCCTGCTCGATGGTTCACTGGTACCATTTCCACACCTGACTGTACCTTCACCGCTGTAACATAAAATTTGTTAAGGAGAGTTAAGGACTGGAAATCAACGCATGGTCTTAAGAGATCTGTATCTTTATGCCAGTGAAATTTCAGCTTCATACGATAAGCGGCAGTGGGTCGGGAGAAATATTTAATGAACGTCCCTCTTAATATCCTATTAAAACTGCTGTTCTTCACTGACCTAAGTGTATTTATGAGATAAGTACAAATCAACTGCAAGTCCCCTTTGTTGCTATTGATGCGATTATTTCACTGAATCGTTTTTTTCTAAGTGATTACGTTTTTTTCCCTTAAAGTCACTCGTTTTTCACTTTAAGTCACTTTTTTTACGTTGCGGTAGAATGTCTATTTTTGTGTTGTTCCGAGAATTTCATTAGGAAGAAATAAACTCATTATGTGTATAAATAACAACTACTAAGGAATGAGGATCTTAGAAGGTCATTGTTATCATCCTCATTAAATTATTGGGAATATGCATAACGATATTTTTCGTAAAGAACAAGTCGAAAGTAGTTTTATTAGTATTCTTATCATTTAAATATATATATTGTTTCTCTTTAGGTTAATAAATATTAGAAACAAGCACAACCAATGTATGGTATTTTATCGTAAAACTGCATCCATTGAGTAAAATACTTCAGTGTGCCCTTCAATTAACTCGGTATTCATTCAATATTTAACTAATTTGTGATCCTTTTCACTCATTCATTTATACGCCGATTTCGTATCTTTTCTGTTAATATTCATTTCGTTATTTTTGCTTTTTTGTTTTTCTTTCACTCATCATTTTTAATATATTCTTTGTACTCTCATTATTTCGTCTATCGCTTCTCTCATTCATTAATTTACTCGTGAATTATTTTTCTTCATTCGATTTTTGATCACCTCTATCTCATTCATTTTACTAACAGTTCTTTCATCCTTTACAGCTCATATTTTTCACATTCCTTATTTTTATACACACACAAATATGTATATATATATATGTATATACACACACACACACACACACACACACACACACACAATATATATATATATATATATATATATATATATATACATATATATATATATATATATATATATATATATATATATATATATAATATATATATATATATATATATTATATATATATATATATACATATATATATATATATATATATTATATATATATATATATATATATATATATATATATATATATATTATATACTATACATATATACATATATATATATATATATATATATATATATATATATATATATATATATAATATATATATATATATATATATATATATATATATATATATACATATATATACATACATACATACTATATTATATATATATATATATATATATATATATATATATATATATATATATAGAGAGAGAGAGAGAGAGAGATGTATGTATATATAATGGTGATAATGATAATGATAGTAATAACAATCATTATTATCATAGTAACGATAAGAAATAATGATAATGATAATAATAATAATTACAATGATATAGTAACGATGATAATGATGATAACAATAATGGTGATAATAATGATGATGATGATGATAATAATAATGATAATAATGATAATGATAATAACAGCAATAATAATGCTGATAATAGTAATAGTAATAGTAAATGATGATTATTATAAAAAATGATGATAATAATCATCATTATCATTAATGCTATCATTACCAATCTAGACACGGTTATCATTATCACTATTGTCAATATTACAAGTATCATTACTATCATTTTAATAATCATCAATACCATCCTATCTTATTAAACGTATTTGTTTATAGAAGTAAAGAATGTGCTTATACGTATTTGTTAATTTTTTTTTTTTTTTTTGTACGTACACACGCACGCAGTCTCCCGATTTCTCTGACGAATAACGTTTTAATCTCTGCATGCAACTTCTGTATCAATACGAATTGAGAATTCCGGGGAGAAAATACCAAAACAAACACATTTTAAACTCTGCTTCATTAGTTTTGTTTCATTCATCGAAACGGAGAAATATAATATTACGCGGAGGGTTAGTCTCGTTCACCGAAAAAAGAAAGAATAATATAAAATGAGTAAATAGATGGAAGAAGGCAGGGGGTAAGGGGTACTGGGGGTATGAGGAAAGGGGAGGGAGTAAGGGCAAGGGGAAGAGGTAAGGAAAATAAAGCAAAAGAGGAAAGGAAATGCCAGAAGGAAGGAAGAGATCCACAGAGAAGGAAAAGAAAAAAAGGGGGAAGAGGAAGAGGGGGAAAAGGGAGAGGGATAGGGAGGAGGGGGAGGGGGGGGGTAGGCGGAGAACATGGAGCCTCGGCAGGGTCGCTCTCCCGCCAGTTTCCCGTTCACCCTCGCACGCACCGGTCACGTTCTCGTCTTCTCCGGGTGGCAGT